TAGTTCCTCATTTTCATGGCCAAGCTTGGTTGTTATAATTACAGCATCCAGTTTTGTTTTATTGTCCCTTCTGTTTACACTGTTGTAGTCACTAAGATTAATGTTCTCCTGGTTCTGCCTTCTCTCAGTTTATATGTCTTCCCAAATTTCTCTGCCTTTCTGGACCCATCTAAGAACTTGAAAGAAAGGGTTTCCTGTTCTAATATCTTTACACTTCAGATAAGCCGGAGTAATATAATAAATCAAGCAATGAGTTTGAAATCAGGAAGATTTGGCTTAAAACCTCCAACTCTTAATAGCCGTGTGACAATGCGCAGATTCCTTAACCTCTCTGAACCTCAGTTTCATATGTAAAATGGGGATTGAAGTAACTACCTCACAGGATTGCTATGAGGCTCCAGTGAAATGGAAATGTATGTAAAGAGCCTTACAAACTTTAAAAGCCCATATAAATTTTAGTTACCATGTTATTATTGCTCTCTTTATCTTCGTGAATTTGCCATCTCAGTTAATCACTGCCGAGGATGCAAGGATTCAGCTGTCCATCAGTCCACCTGCATCACGCCTCTGAACTATTGCTTGGAAGTTTACAGAGTGGGGGTGGGGATGAGTTGGGGGAGGGGGATGATGGGTCTGTTTGCCCATCCAGACTCTGTCCTGCTTGCAGCCCCAGCCCAGGATGAAGTGATTTCTTATTCTTTGTGTCATCTGAAGCAGTGAACCATTCTTCCTGATGCAAACAAAAGCAATCTGAGCAATCTTTGCACAGCAGGTAGGTTTCCCCTAGAGGTGAAATGCCCAGAACACTACTTTTCAGATTGATCTGTTGAAAAAGCACTGATTGCTTCCTAGAGGCAAAAACCATCAACAGTTTTAGCCAGGCTATAGCTCTTTTAGATTGTACCCAGGGGAATTGGAGTTTGGGCAAAGGAGTTCACTTCTAGACATATATTTTTAGTTGATTTGAAAAAAAAATATATCACTTAAATGCAAGCAAATTACTTTTCTGGATGTTGTTACCCAGCAGCCTTTAGTTTAACAGTTGAATAAGTGGTCCATCTCTCTATTATTTAGTGTTTTAAAAGGTGATACACGTCCATCTGTCAGGGTATGTGCTCAGTGAAATTCTGCCTGGAGGCAAAGAGATGGACTGGATGACCTCTGGAGGGTCCTTCTAGCCTTTCAATTCTCTGCTAATATGCTTTTAGCATGTTTTATAGTTGACGGTTATGACCACTGTGAAGTCAGTACCCTCACAATAATCTATTCTAGGTACTCATGATTTTTACAGAAATCAGAACCTTGGAGCTAAAGAAGACCTTAGATAGTTGTTATTTCAATTCAATTCAAATAAACAAACATTTGTTTATGCACTTCTTTATGGAGGGCACTGTGCTAGGTGCTAGAGATGCAAAGACAAAAAGAGAAAAAAAAAGTGCTTGTGTCAAAGACATTTTATTTTGCTGAGGATGATACAGCATGAACAGTTTTGAAGAACACTAGGGGCTGAGGGTAGAAAGAGGAACTGACCCAGTGGCAGCAGAAAGTGGTGGTCAAGGTCAGAATGGAAGGGATGCAGGAGCATATATGATGACGTCATGGCTTCTTACTGGAACTGGTGGCTATTTCTACTCATCGTTCTCTGTGAAGGGTCAAAGTCAGGCACCTGCATCAGTGATCAGAGAGCTAAAACTGGGAAGCACTAACCCTTTTGAGTCGCAGTTTATGCTGGCTATTCAGTTCCACACACTGGGCTAAACTGAGACCTTGATTCTAGAGTTTCTGTATCTGCACCTAATGAACAAGCTACCTGGTGGGAACTGTGTTATAATACTCCTTTGCCTGCTCAAGGTAGGACTCCAAATGTGAATTGTGATTTTCCTAAAGTAGAGGTCCAACAATGTCACGCCCCCTACTCAATAAACTCGAGCAGCTCCCAGAAGCAAATACAAAATCCTGTTAGGCATTCAAAACCCTTCATAACTAAACCTCCTCCTACCTTTCCAGTCTTCTCACATCTTACTCCACACCATAATCTCTTTGATCCAGTGACACTGGCCTTTTTGCTGTTTCTCAAATGAGACACTTCATCTCTTCCCTCTTCCATTTTCTCTGACTGTTCCTCATGCCTAGCTTCCTTCAAATCTCTACTAAATTCTTATCTTCTTAGGAAGGCTTTTCCCAGTTCCTCTTAATTCTGGTGCCTTTCTTTCTTTTACCTTTTAATTATTTCCCTTTTTCCCAGTCTATAACTTGTTTGTACAAATTTATTTTCTCCTCCTCCTCCTCCTTCTCCTCTTCCTTGAAGGCAGACACTGTCTTTTGCTTTTTTTTTTGAATCTACAATGCTTAGCACAGTGCCTGGTATATATCAGATGCTTAATAAATATTTATTGACTTATTGACTCAATTGCTTAGAACTCTTGGGTTCAGATTGATCCTATGGCTAAGGGAACTTCCAGGGTCAAGAACATGGTAGGCTTGTAACCACTGTATATGTTTGTGGTTTATTGTTATGCATTATCTCATTATTAATTGCTATTTATTTACTTATTAATTCTATATGAGGAATAAAAAGAGTAAAAGTGAGGTATTTCAGCACATATATCTACTTTTATGGTGAAACAACACCATTGTACTAAAGGGATTTGACTAGCATTCATCGAAATACAGCTTGTTCAAAAGGAGATGAGGTTAGCCAGTGAATGGAGTCCCAAAGCTAAGTTCTAATTGGCAATCAGTCAATTAATAAGAATTTGTTAAGTGCCTATTATGTGCCAGGCATTGTGCCAAATGCTGGGAACAAAAAAAAGAAGCAAAAGATAGTTCTTGCCCTCAAGGAGCTCACTATCTAACGGGGGAGACAATAAGCAAACAAATATATATATAAAGAAGCTATATACAGGATAAAAGAAGAAATCATTAATAAGGGGAAATTAAGAATTAACTAGAATTAAGAGAGGTTGGAAAAGGCTTCCTGAAGTAGATGGGATTTTAGTTGGAACTTACAGGAAGCCAGGGAAGCCAGGAGGCAAGGATCCACAGATACATAAAAATCCACATAGTCCTAGGTAATTGGTCTTGCCTCAATAGTAACAAATAGAACTGAGGTATGGATTGGACTAGTAACCTTGAGGTTGCATGTGGCCCTCTAGGTCCTCAAGTGCAGCCCTTTGACTGAATCCAAATGTCACAAAACAAATCTCCTTAATAAAAGTATTTGTTCTGTAAAACTTGGAGTCAGTCAAAAGGCTGAACCCAAAGACCTAGAGGGTCACATGTGGCCTCAAGGCCACAAGTTCCCCACCCCTGACTCTCTAAGCATAGAGAGTAGAACCTTTCCTTAGCACTTCAGCCCCAGTGAGGTATGCACAAGCTTCAAAAGTGATTTTGGGACTCCCGGGTGAATGGTTGCCAAAGCCAACTAGTGGTCTAACACAGATACATAAATACAAAGTATATAAAAAACAATATATACTTATTTCAAGAGGGAGAGAGAGCTCAAAATCTGGGGGCCAGGTGATCAGAAAAGATCTCTTTTAGGAAGCGGTACCTGAGCTGTACTTTGAAGGAAGCTAGGAATTTTTCTGAGGCAAAGGTAAAGAGGGAGATCATTTTACATCCCCTTATTTTCAAGATGGAGAAATTGAGGCTCAAGGATAATAATTGATTCACAGGTGGTAGATCTGGAACTAGAATGTCAGTCTGCAGTTTTAGTCTAGTTCATTCATTTTAACTTATCTGGTTCAGCTGGTTCATCTGGCTCTAGTTTTCCCCTCTCAAATTCACTGCTCTGCAACAGAATTAAATCCAACTCTTAGCAGTTCACTAGAACTGTACCTTCCAGAATTTGGCCTCCGGGAATGTCGGTTTAGAGTGTCATATTCTCTAGGATTCTTCTCTACAGCTATGAATGCCTGACAAAAGCTGGCTATGCTGGTAACTGGAGCTTTGATTTCTTGGGGCTAGTTTTAATACTATTTCAAAAATATGGCAATCGCTTGAGGATGTTCTGACATCCATTTTCTCCTGGATATAAAATGTTCACACTCTCATGTTTCCAACTATAGTTTGGTAACTTTTCATTCTTATCATGAGCTTCCCTAAGTTGTTAGAAACTTGCACATTGAAGAGTCGTGTGAGATTTGAGTTCTATTTATTTTCTTCCAGTGTACATCTCTGCTGCTCTACAGAGGCTTCACTGGAAATTTTTTTCTATCTCCCATATTCTAAGAGAAGAGGAAAATACTAACTGGACAGAATACAGCCCCTGGTGAATACTCAGAGGATGTGTGATATC